CAAAGGTTAGGCTAATAATAACAATTTTGAAGCAGACTTGCTTGTTAGATCAAAGGACTGATTTGCTGGGAGACAGCAATTCTGTGTTTTAAGTCTTTACATAGCTTCTGAGACTGTTTCACTTTTTTTTTTTTTTAAGAGTTGCTTTAATAAAGATCCTATGCCTCCTTCATCTTTGTATGGCTCACAGCAATCAGCAGACTACCCCTGCACGTCTCAGGAATGCAATAACATATTTGCTAAATATAGTTCGTGACAACCCACATCAAAGGCTTCCCAAAGCAAGTACAAGGACAAGAAAAGAGCATGCAAACATATTGTTTTATGCTTTTACACTAGGACTCATGAATCTGAATAATGTATCCTGGAATTTGCTTCTTAAAAAAAAAAAGTGCACTTCTACATTTGAAATGTCTTTACTATTTATAGACTATACAAGTAAAGCTAACATTATTTTTACACTTTGTTTCTTTTTTTTTTTTTTTTTGACAGAAATGTATTACCAGTAACATCACCCCATACATGCACCATTATCATCTGTAAGTTCTCCCAAACGAAAAAGAAGTTATAGTATCTGCCTTAAGACTTGGGTGCAATGGGTTTCTAAGCTCAAATGCAAATTATTTCACCATTAAAATCACTAAACTGCTAACAAAACCAAACAGTCACAAGTCAGAGTCTACTGGGGGGGTGGGGGAAAGGAGAATGCTGAGGAGAAATAGGGACAAAGGGGTTCTTGTCCCTGCCCGGCCATTAATTTACTATGTGACCTTACCTAATTAGTCAGCCTCTCTGGGTCTCAACTTCCTCGTTTTAGTATTACTTCTAGGGCCCTTTAAAATACATGCTAAGACTCAGCATGTGGAGCACTGATTTGAAAACTGATTTACATTCCTACTGCTCTTTCTCTTTCTCCCCCCACCACCCCCCCAAAAAAAAGTCACATTTTACATGACAGTTTTAAATGTCTGAGAATGGGTTTCTATCAATGGCCATTTATTAAAATGTCAGATGAGCTTCAGTTCATTTCAAGGCAAGTCTACTAAAGCAAGTAGTGCTTAAATATTCAAGTTTCACCGACAGCAGCTGCTGCTGAGAATAGCCTTTCTTGAACTGTGTAGTTGAAAATTACATCTCTTTATAAATGGAAAAGACTAGGGTGATTTTTAAAGTTCATTTTTTGATTTTAGTTGACATACAATGTCATGTTGATTTCAGGTATACAACACAGCGAGTAGATATTTACATACCTTATGATATGATCACCCCAATAAGTCTACCACCCAGCTGGCAGGGGTGATTTTTATGGTCTCAACAAAGCAAAAGCATAGCTGTCTTCCTTTTATACATTTAGTTAGGTTAGAGCAGTGTTTCCCAAACTTCTCTCAGGATGAGAATCACCCGGTGGAGTTGTTAAACTAGTGATTCCTGAATCCCAACTAAGAAGTGCTAAACTAGAATTTTTGGGAACACATAGGTAAAATTGTATACTTAACTAGTGCTAGATTCTAGTTTAGCACTTCTTAGATGGGATTCAGGAATCTGTAGTTTAACAACTCCACCAGGTGATTCTCATCCTGAGAGAAGTTCGGTGATTCTGGGAAACACTGGGTTACCGGAAAGCAGAAGGGCTAGCTTGCTTTGAGAGGCCGGGTGAAGACAGAACAACCCAGACAAGACCCTCTCAATTGATGTACTCACTACACTAGACAGCCCATCCTTCCAATTAGCTCAACCCAAACGCCATGAAAAGACTTCCAGTGTCTGGGATGCCTGAACAAGTGAGGAATGCCATGTAACAATAGCTAACCTCAAATCCGAAGAATTGCACTATTCAGAACAAAATAGAAATCAGTGACTCAAACCCATTAGACTAAATTAAAATTTTTATATAGCTTTAAAAAGAACATATATTGAAAATACCTTTTATCGATAATACCAGAAGACACTAGCGTGTATACATAGCATATTAAATCAAAGAATTCCATAGAGTATTTTAAACTCATTTTACAGATGAAGAAGCAAAGTGGGAAGAATTAGGGGATTTGCCCAGTAGCAAATGGCTACCAATGGTCAGAGCCTTGTTTTAAAGGCAGTTCTGATTTTAAGTCCTCCCTTCTTTACATTTCAAAATGGTACTTTTGATAAGAGTTTTCAGTCTCTACTATTTTGACTGACTTAGGAAATGTTGTATTTCACCAAATTGCTATGCCCTCCCCCAAAAAACATATCTGGTCCTCTTTTGGGTTCTTAAAGTGTTCTGTGCATAAACATGCACTTCCTGGGCCTTCTCGTTATTCATTTACTTTTCTCCTCAGCGAGGCTCATTTCTTCAACAGCAGAGATTGTCTTATCTTCCTTTATAGATAAGCCTCTGTGGTCACTCCCTGTGACACTATATCTAACCCCGCCCCCCCAAACAACAAGTACACTTCCCAGAGCTGGTGGGCATTCAGTTTGCTTCCACACAACAGGTGATGAATAAGTGTTAGTTACTGGTAAATGGGTGGTGGGTGGGAGGGTGGATGACTCACTACTCATATTCCACAGCACTTTACAAGGTACACATTTACATACAGCATCCCATGTGGGTCTTAAAAACTGTGAATTTCAGAGTGATCATTTATTTTTTTATTTTTTTATTTTATTAATTTTTCACAGAGAGGAAGAGAGGGATAGTTAGAATCATTGAACAGCTGCCTCTTGCACACCCCCCACTGGGGATGTGCCCGCAACCAAGGTACACGCCCCAGAGTGATCATTTAAAAATCCTCTTTAGCCCTAGGTTTGGCTCAGTGGATAGAGCGTCAGCCTGCAGACTGAAGGGTCCCGGGTTCGATTCTGGTCAAAGGCATGTATGTACCTTGGTTGCAGGCACATGCCCAGTGGGGGGTGTGCAGGAGGCAGCTGATCAATGTTTCTCTCTCACTGATGTTTCTAACTCTCTATCCCTCTCCCTTCCTCTCTGTAAAAAAAAAAAAAAAAATCAATAAAATGTATTTTAAAAATAAATAAAAATCTTCTTTAGCGTTGTTCAGCACATCGTCATTCTCAATTTCAGAAACTTGCCCAGCGGTGCACAGGTAGTAAGTAACGGTGTTTCCATTTCAGTGTGGCCCACAATACTTCACCCCCTTGCTGCTGTATTCTCTTCCCAAAGCAGCTGTTAGAGAACAGGCTTGGCTTGGTCAGTTGCAACAAGAAAGAGGTGTTGTCCCACCCTGGTTTCCAGTTGTGCAACCTGAGACTGCCCACAATCTGTGGGTCACAGGCTGGATCAAGAAGGGAGACTTCACTCAATGAGCTGTCACAAAGGAAACCATGGAAGAAGTCACTGATGCGACTTCCTGTCCACACACACACACACACACACAGCGACCAATCCTCAGCGTGCTGCTCAGGCACAGGCTGTTCCAGTAGAGCAGGTGATGACTCAATTCACTTCTCACCTCAATTTTCTGAGCCTATAAACACACATTCATCAGATAAAAACATGGGGGTGAAGGGGGATGACTTGAAAGCCAGAAGACAGACTTCCCGGTTCCACTCCCACACACACTCTGACCTATCCTTGTGTGCAGATGCACAGGAAGCGGAGCGGGCTCGTTTTAACGAGCCCCAAAAAGTACTACCCAGTGTTTACTGAGCAGAGCCCTTCAGTTTGCCCAGAAATGCAAACTCCAAAGAGCCCTCTGAATAGCCAATCAAAGGCACACAACCAGAGTGCGTTGCCCAGAGAACAGCTTGGAAAACTGCAAGCTCCCTTCAAGGGACAAACTGAACAGGAATAGCTCCTTTCTGGCCAACCGAAGGACCTCGGGGCTCAATATCTTAAATGTGTGTGTGGTTCTAACACAGCCATTTCCAACAGGCATGCCTGACTGCCCTCAGGATCCAGGCCTCGCTCAGCTCAGGTGAACCCTTCCTCTCTCTCTCTCCCTTCCTCCCATGCTCTCCACTTTGTTCTCCGGGGAAAGCTCAGGAAGACAACATCTGCCAAGCTCACTCAGCGCGTGCAATCAGCCAAAACGCATTGTCACGCTGAAGCAAAGGAGGGTGAACACAGGCCAGCTGAGTGGCTCCTATTCGGAATGAAAAGTTCTTCAAGGTGTCAGGCATCCTGTTTCTTAGACCCCAGTGCTGATGAAAGGAGGCAGACAGCAGAGTCTGTGCTCCTAACCTCACGTGGGGAATTTAGGTGAGGGGTTTCTGCTCCACAGCGAGGTCTAGGGACACACTTCAACCCCCAGCAAAGGGGGGGGGGGGGGGGAAGCACATGAGCATCCAGGGATGTCAGGCCCTACGTTGCACTGCAAGGGATGTAGCCACGAGCACTTACCTGCAGCATTTTGGGGTCCTCACGATCCCCCCTCAATTGCCAAGACCTCACAACTCTGCACTGGAAAGCCAGGCTGACCGGAGTCCTGCACTAAGCAAGCAGCACGGATTTTAAACCCTCGCTTTAACTTTCACTACAGAAAGCGCGGTGGGGGCGGGGGTCCACCGACCGCGGGGCACAGGGAAGAGACAAAGATCACCCCAAAGGCAGACGCGCGCATTCCACCCACCTCTCCCCGCAGCCGGCTTCCTGTGGGGTTTCTCCCCCCAACCCGGACCTCTCCACAAAGTTTGAGGCCGTCCACACACAGAGACTTTCAAAGGTCCATTGTTTCCTCCCCCGTAAAACGTACTGAAAAGAGAGAGAGGGAGCGAACGAAAGCACAGACCAAAGGCTCCCCAAGATCCTTTCCTTATGGCGAGGATTGACTCCGGGGTAGCTTGTGCCTTTCCCAACCCATAGAGGGGGAAGGAGGCGCGCGGGGATCGTGGGGAAGGGGGGCAATGGGGGGTGTTTTCCATTTCAGCAGAAACGCCCCAATGCCAGATCTCCGGGCGCAGGGACGGAGCTGGGGGAGCGCAGTCCGCGCGCTCCCAGCAGCCCCCAGAGGGGGGGCAGCAAGGGAGGCGGGACGGGGGCGGGAGATCCTCTCTCTTCTTACCTTTCCCTCCCCCGCTCAGTGTCGGCTCATTCAGGGGTGTCTACTCGGAGGTCCAAAGAGACGGGGCCGAGTTCTGGGCGCCCCCGGGTCCAGCTCTCCTCTCCATGGCCAGGGAGCCCCCGAGCCCCAGCGCCTTCCGCCGCCGCCGCTTTGCTTTTGGGGGAACCGGCAGCCCCAGCTCTGCCTCCGCTCAGCCCGGAGGCGCAGCTCTCCGCGGGGGGACGGCGCTCCCCTCCGCCTCCGCCTCCGCCAGCCCGAGCCGCGGGGCCGGGGGCCTGGCTCGCTCTCCCCGGGAGCCGGGAGCTCCGCTTTCCGGGAGGAAGAGGAGGAGAATCGCGGCCGGGGCGGCGCGGCCCGGAGCGTCCCCGGGACCACGGGGAGGAGGCGGCCGCGGGGCGGAGCGGCTCCCGGGTCGCGCTTGTCCCTGGTCGGCGGGCGCCGCGGCTCGTAGGGTCGCGCTCTGCCTCCGCCGGCCGGACAGGCGGCCAGCGCTCCGGACCGGGGCTGCGGGGCGGGCGGGCGGGCAGCGAGACGAGGGAGGCGGAGGCAGAGGAGGAGCCTGCGGCCGGAGGGGGCGGTGGCTGCTCCGGGCTCCTCCCGCCACACCGGCTCCGTGCGAGCCGGGGACGCGGGCACTAGGAGCCCGTCTCTGCGGCTCCGCGGCACCGCTCCCCCCACCCAGGCACCGCTCCCCCCGAGCACCGCTCCCCCCACCCGGGCACCGCTTCCCCCCGGGCACCGCTCAACCCCAAGTACCGCTTCCCGCGGGCACCGCTCCCCCCGGGCACCGCTCCCCCCCGGGCACCGCTTCCCCCCGGGCACGGTCCCCGGGGAAGGCTCCCCAATGCGCCTTGATTTTAGCAATGATTTTAGCTGTGAGCTCCTACCCTGCCGCGCTCCTACCCTGGGCGCACCCGCGGAGCTGACTCTGATGACCCTGCGCCCCCTTTTCCTCTCGGCTGAGCCTGGCTCTGCACCCTATCACCTGCAGCCGAGCCTCAGCCTGCGTCCCCATCACCCCCTGGCTGATCTGGACACCGCGCACCTTCATGGCTCCCGGCCGGACCGAGCTCTGCGCCCCGCCATCCCCACCCCAAAGGGACTTGCACAATTCCCCCAGCAAATGTTCTGTTCGCCCGGCCACCGCGCCGCTGCCGCCCCCACCTGGCCAGCCGCTGTCGCCGGGTCCTCAGTCCGCCAGCTCTGAGGTCAGGACAGCCTTCGGGCAGCTCTGAGTGGCCCAGCAGAATACATATACCTCCGGCTCCCCACGCCCCCTGCCCGCGCCTCTCTGGAGTGGCTGCCGCTTGCAGGGGTGGCGCTGAAAGCCACTCCCCGGCCCACCCCGATGTCTGAGGGCCCCTATGTGGCCACCACCACCACCACGCCCCCCGCGGGAGCTGCTGCTGTCACCGAGGAAAAGCCTGGCTCCAGCCTTGGGCGCGGCCCGGGCTGGATGTCAGACCCACGAGATTCCGAGAAAGTGACAGCAGCACCATTGCCAAATTCAAATCCGGACCGCCGTCATTCCCTGTTTAATTGGGAATTGGGGGCTTTCCCGTTAGGGAACTCTTTCAGTGAGAGCAGTCCAAATAGGATTGCTCCGTTTTCTGTTCTGTGGTGGTTGTTTTCTTTCTTTCTTTTACTAAGAACTCAGTCATGGAACCAGGACACACCCAGCAGGCGGGAAGGAGAATTTCCTATTTCAAATATTTCGGTTCAGGACTTTATAGGAATGAATGTTTCGGAATCTTAGCTGATGATAAGATTTCCCTGTGGCATTTGGAAATTGTGGATTCCCAGACCTCACGCCTACTTGAAACTTACAATCTCAAATGTAAGTTTGAGAAACAGGGCTAGAGAGCATTCTTGAATTCATTAAAGCCTTGCAAAATGGCAGTGCGCTTCACTGCTGAGACCTTAAAGAGACACCCAACTTTGGGAGCCACTGGCCCTTCTGGAAGAGGGAGGAAAGTTCTCAGAAAACAATACAGACCGGCCCTGACTGTGTGGCTCAGTTGGTTGGAAGGCCCTGAACACCAAAAGGTGGCAGGAAGGCACATACCAGAGTTGTGGATTAGATCCTGGTCAGAAGCAGCCAATCCACATTTCTCTCTCACATTGATGTTTTTCTCTCTCACCCTCTCCCTTTCCCTCTTCCTAAAATCGATAAATATATCCTAGGGTGGAGATTAAAAAATAGTAATAAGTTTTTTTAAAAAGTAAGGCAGATGTTTTTGAATGACAAACTGGAAGGAACCAAGGATGATTTTAGTGGTTCAAAGGTGAAATGTTTAGGACCATGCCTTAAAAAGACAGGACAGGAATGGGGTCGCCATGTATGGTAGGCTGAAAAATAACCCCCCCAAAGATACCAGATCCTAATCCTAGAACCTGGCAATATTCCCTTAAATGGAAACAGGGTCTTGCCAATGGGATTTAATTAAGAATCTTCATTTGGGGAGATTATCCTGGGTTACCACAGAGGGCCCTCACTGCAATCACATGTGTCCTTACAAAAGGAAAGCAGAGCCGAAACCGGTTTGGCTCAGTGGATGGAGCGTCGGCCTGCGGGCTGAAGGGTCCCGGGTTCGGTTCTGTTTGTGGGGGGGGGGGAGGGGCATGTACCTTGGTTGTGGGCGCGTCCCCAGTGGGGGGTGTGCAGGAGGCAGCTGATCAATGTTTCTCTCTCATCGATGTTTCTAACTCTTTATCCCTCTCTCTTCCTCTCTGTAAAAAGATCAATAAAATATATATATATATTTTTTTAAAGTGAAGGCAGAGAGGAGATTTGACACACACAGATTAGAAGATAACGTGACCATGGAGGCAGACAATGGGGGGATACAGCCACCAGCCAAGGAAGGCCAGCCGCCACCAGAAGCTGGAAGAGAGGCAGGGAAGGGTCCTCCCTAGAGCCCCCAGAGAGAAAGGCCTGGTGACATTTCGATTCCAGCTTAGTGAAACTGAATCCGGACCTCTGGCATGAGAGAATGAATGCCTGCTGTTTTAAGCCACCAAGTCTGTGGTAACGTGTTACAGCAGCCACGGGAAACAAATACGCCCTGTGGCTTGTGCATCCCAAATCTACATCAAAATGCCCATTTTATGAATCTTTATTAAGTGCCAGGCACTTTGCTTGGATATGTTATCTCATCCTCCTAATAATTATTATTCCAATTTTAGAGACAGGGACACTAGGACTGAAGAAGTTTAAGGAGCTGGCCTAAGGTCACACAGCAAGAGCCTAGTGGAATCAAGCCAGTCAACCCCTCAAACATTGAAAATAGCAATTAAGTTGATATACATTGTTTTAGTGAAAGTTTTTGGTTTTAAAAAGGTCTTACTTCCTTATTCTACATCTATTGCCAAAACCAATGAAAATGGATGCATTAGCTGTACACCTAAAACTGCTCTAAATAATAAAGTATATTAACCAAAAAAGGTTAATCTTTTATAGCCTACCTTTGATAATTTATAGACCTTTGTTAGTATACAATGATGGCCAGATTATTATGATCTCTGAATACATAATAATCTGACCACTCAGTGTGTGTGTGTGTGTGTGTGTGTATGTGTGTTAGAGGCCTGGTACATGAATTTGTGCATGGGTGGGGTCCGGCCAGCCTGGCCAGGGATAAGAACATGGGTGGTTGGCTGGCCTACCTGCTGGTTAAACTCCTGGTTGAGGGGACAATTTGCATATTAGTTTTTTATTATATAGGATATACACTGAGTGGCCAGATTATTATGTGTTCAGAGATCATAATAATCTGGTCACTCAGTGTATTTACTAGAGGCCCGGTACATGAAATTTGCACACAGGGGTTGGGGGTGTGCCTGAGTGCAGCCTGCACCCTCTCCAATCTGGGACCCTTTGTGGGATGTCCAACTGCCCTCTCACAATCCAGGACTGCTGACTCCCAAACACTCACCTGCCTGATTGCCTGATTGTCCCCTAACCATTCCCCTGCCAGCCTTTTCAATGCCTAACTGCTCCCCTGCTGGCCCGATTGCCCCAACTGCCCTCCCCTGCAGGACTGGTCCCCTCCAACAGCCCTCCCTGCAGGCCTGCTCACTCCTAACTGCCTTCCTCTGCCAGCACAGTCACCCCTAACTTCCCTCCTCTGCCAGCCCAGTCACTCCTAACTGCCCTTCCCTGAAGGCCTGATTGCCCCCAATTGCCCTCCCCTGCAGGCCATCTTGTGGTGACCATCTTGTGTCCACATGGGGGTGGCCATCTTTGACCATATGGGGGCAGCCATCTTGTGTGTTGGAGTGATGGTCAATTTGTATATTACCTCTTTATTATTTAGGATCCGGAACATGAAAAAAAAAAAAAAATCAAAGGAAATTACCGTATTTTTCGGACCATAAGACGCTCCGGACCATAAGATGCACCAGTTTTTAGAGAAGGGAAATGAAGATTCTGAAACAAATAGTGTCCTAAAATATTTTATATGCATTAAAACCCAACATCACAGTCATAAACACATGTAATCAACCCTGTAAAGTAAACAGCAGCATTTAGAACCATTTTAGAGCCGGGCAAGCACACAGAGACCACACAGAGCCAGGCAAGTAAAAAAACTTTTTTTTTAAAGTATATGTGTAGGCTATATTTGGACCATAAGACGCAGGGACTTTTTCCCCCCACTTCTGGGGGGAAAAAGTGTGTCTTATGGTCCGAAAAATACGGTAATGTGAAAGGAAGTTGCAGAGGAGGCAGAACAGAGTGAGAGGCCAGAGATTTCTCTGGTCAGTGGAATTAATGTCACCAATTGGGTTCCCCGGGAAGCAGGCTGTGAGGTCCATTGGCAGGTTGTTCATTAAGGGATACTCAGTGGGTGCACACCTGGGGAAGCAGGATAGGACAAAGAAGTGAAGCTGCAGTGTGAGCTCTACAACAGGCTCCCCTGACCCCCTGAAGGCCCTGGAGCTAGCATGGCCCTTCAGAAGTATTGGGCCCACATAGCTAAACCTTCATATACCCTCCTGAACCAGTCACTGAGGAGTGGCATGACCTTGGGCAAGGGGATTTAGCTGCAGAAGTAGTCCCTACGAGGACCAGCTGTCAGCAGCACTCAGAGCTGGCAGCATGTCCTCCCTTGAAGGCAGATCTGGTCAACACATCTCCACATC